GGGATGCGGACCGCGCCCAGCGCTGCTCTCAGCACCACGGGGGGCTTCGGCCCGGGGCGAGCGGCAGCAAGGGGCAGCCGTCTGGGGCTCGTTCTCGGGCGTCAGGAAATGGGCGGATCTCGTTGCGGCCTCAGCAGAAAGGCCCGGGCTGTCTGCTTGGCCCTTCCCGGAGAGAGGAAGGAGCAGTTCCGGCAGCCTGTGACATGGATGTAGATCCTGCTCCCTGGTGTGAAAATTCCCAGCTGCTGCCAGGACACACCATTAAGTGCCCACACAGACACACGCATGTTTCCCCCCATCCCCTCCCCTGTTTAAGCAATCTTTTTCTCTTTAATGAGCATCAGACTGGTAATTGTGGATGCAACTTTGAAGGGAAAACTTGTCTGGGCGCTTCAGAGTTTCTAAATCATTTTCTCTTTCTTAATGTAAAGGCTGCTGCAACTGTCTCCTGGTTCTGTAGCCGCTGCCTTGGGCAATAATCCTCTTGTGTTACGAGCTGGGCTTGGAAAAGACTCACTGCGGGCCCTGAGTGCCAAGGAGGGAGCTGGAGCTTGCGGGGGGGTTGCCAAAATGTTCTTGATGGGTCGCAGCCCCAGGCAGGCTTGTGGGCTGTTTATAGTTTTAAATGCAAAACAAAACAAAAAAAGGGTTTAGTCCAAGCCTGGCTGCAAGCCTGGTGACAATACAGCACTCCTAAATCTTTGCGTTCAAGGGAATACGTGAGCTAGCGGGATGGCTCGTAGAGGTGAGAGGAATGGAGCAGAAGTGCCAGCATCATCGGATGTGTATTGCTAATGTACAGAAACAGTTACTTGCCATAAGAGCCTTTTAATGGTAACTTTCTTGGTTGGATTTCTCTTTTTGGCACTCTGTTTTCTTTCCTCTTCTCTTTCAGGTCTAGGTACTGGCTCTATGCTTTGCTGACCTGTTGAGTCCTCCTTTCCCCACTTAGTTACCTCTAGTTATTTCTCTTTCTCCTCATTGAAAGCGGAATACAGGAGATGCAGTTTGCCCTTTATTCTAAGAGTCTTTGATGTGAATCTTGTCATCTTTATGGTTTATTTTGTGTATTGCTCAAACCTAGTGCAGATTTGGTGCAGCCTACTGCTCTGGTAAAACAGCTTGAGAAGGCAGGGCAGGCAGCAGAGAATGTAGGAAGTTCATTGAGCATGGGGCAGGGGCAGTGTATGCTGACCATCAGCTGAGAGTGTGGGGATGAGAGGAAGGGAAAGCTTACTTTTCTGGGCAGTCCGCTCTGCTCCAGCAGCAGCAGCAAGCAGCCCTGTGGCTGGGCTCCCTGAGAGCCTCCCCTTGTGCTCTGTTCACTCCTTTCCCCCAGTATATGTGTGTTGGGCACATGGCCGTGACACAGACTCTACAGTGGTGGGAGGGAAGCCACTTTCTGGTCTCTCCACTCACCCAGCCTGCCCTCCAGATATGCTGTTTAAGGCCAACAAAGTGCTGCCCAGCTGCTGTAGCCAGGCAGGGCTTCTCCTACCATGGCAAAGCCTGCCTTTTGTGGAGGGGAGGGTGATTGTTGGTACTCCCTTTTAGTCAGCACTCAGGGCTAGGGGCCCTGCTGACCCTGCCCTAGTTATGTTACCGCAGGGTAGCACCTTAAAGGCGAACTGGTTCAGAGAGGCATATGATTTCATAGACAGTGCTCCATAGCATGTGACAGAGTGGATCATTGCCTATGAAAGTTCTCTCTGAACCGTTTAATCCTTAAAGTGCTGCCCTGCTCTGCCTTTTGCTTGACTTCAGACTAACATGACTTAACTACCTCTCTACTCAGGTAAACCATGTGAGCGATGACTCACACCCATGAACTTCCTCTAATCTACCCTGGTGACTTGCATCAGAATAGCTACATCAGAGGGTAAAATGTATCCCTGTGAGACTTCCAAGAACATAATGGAACTGGAAATGTTTTCATGACTTAATCTGTAATTGTTTTGTACCGTAAACACTCTAGTAAATTATACATGAGAAGCAGAACCAGCTAGAGAAAGTGAAAGCAAGTCTGTTTTGTTCTACTTCCCAAGCTGACTAGAATGAAAAATTAAATGACATTACATTTTACATTACTTTATTCATTATTAGGATTTGTGTAAAATGGTAAAAGTGCCAACTATCCTTGATATTGGCTGAACAGTGTAATAGAATGGATCCCTGGATGTAACTTCCAGTGACACAATACAGTGTAACATACCAGCAGCAACTCAGAATATCCTGTTTCCAGCAGTTCTTCATTCTTTAAATTTCCTTTTTTCATTTTGGGGAGGGGAAGAGGGGCATGATATAAAGAGCTTTGCAGAATGCTGTTCATGTCCCCTGATATGAGGTTTTACAATCCAGGAGTGAGGGACTTTGAAGTTTGGTGGTCCTTCAGAGAGTTTGCCTAGCCACTTCTCTTATATGCCAGTGGAGTTTGATTTCCTGTAGTACAGCAGCAACAGCGAAGCAACAGGTCAAAGTATTTAGCAACTTTTAAAAGGTACATTTGGAAGCCTATAGGCTACCAGGGAAGACTTGGGAAAGATATTGCAGCTACCAGGCAGGTAGCTGTGTTGTACAGTAGTTTCTGAGCCTGCTACACCTTCATATTAAAGCTGGATTGAAACCAGCTGTAGAGTTGTCATACACTGTTAAGCACTATCTTTATAGCTGGTTGGCTCTTTTTATAGTTGGTTAGTGGATTTTATGTGTGAAAATTACTTTGTAGTTGTGGCTGATCTACATTTATTGTGTGATTAACCAGTTACTCATGTGATGCATGTAACGTGTAGCAGGGGGTGTACACGGCTGCCCTGCAGAGTATATTAGATTAGTTAAACTTGAAGTAATAAAGGCAAGGAAGGATGACTGAGAAGTCCCCATCCAGAATGAATGTTTAAAGCCTCCTAGCTTATGAAAATGTTGAAAAATTGACCAAAATACATCTTGTTTCGTGGTCTTCAGTTGAATCTAGCCAGACCCAAATGTTTAGTATCTGGTCAATAAAAATGATAATATACATTCTCTGTTAAATAAGCTAATACTCTCACCATCTCTTCTTGCTGCTAGGCACTGTCAATTCAGCCCAGACTAAAATTTAATACACATGATAAATTAATTCTCACCCCAATCTCATTCAGATATTGAAGGTTATTTAGCACATCTGCCTTGAACAATCAATTTGCTTGAGAGTTCCTTTGTTAATAATTGAATTTCTATGTAAAAAGTTTTTATTCAGTAATAAAGGTCAGTTGAAATTAGGGTTAGACCAACACTAGGAGTGACTTGCTAGTAGTATATATTAATGCAGGCAAAGTCCTCCTACAGATGACACAGCTTTCACCTGCAACACTGCTTTTTCCAGCCTAGTTTAGTTCCAGTTCCTCCCTGAATGAAATGAACAAAACTAGCAAGAGTGCATTTGTAGTATGTCAGCAAAGAAGGCTTTTGATGATACAGCTGTATAGATTGCAGGTCTCATCATCATACTGGCAGGTTTTCTGGTAAAGGGTTTATACTAAAAGCTGTTTCTAGTCCTACTTTTCCCCCCTGTATCATAACAGCTGTACTCCAAGGGATGTTAAATTACTTTTCCCCCCAGTAAACGATGCAGTTAAATTGTAGTCCTTGTACTGTTGTCCTAACTTATAAGCTTCTTAGGGATCTGATTCCTTAGCTAGACTCCTCTGTCTGAAAATGCCCAATCAGGAAGAAACTGTCAAATGATGAACATATGACCTTGAACAATCCAATATTCTTTTAAGAAGGGCATGCAAAGACATTACATTAGTGTAGTTGCTCTTGTTTGGTCCCCAGCTCTGAAATGTTGTAACCAAGACCAAACTTAATTTCAGACTAGCACTAAGGGTTTAGAAGGCTGGGATTGAAAGCCCTTTGGGATAGGGATGAGATCTGTAGGTCAGGGCTGAGTAGCAGCAGGGTGATCTTATGCCCTTTCTCTCAGGATACAAAAAGTTATTTATACCCCTTTCTGAAAATGGAGTACGCAAAATTTCCGTACACCAAAATCAATTTAATTGTAAGATAGCTAGTTTTTTTACATGACATTTGAAATGAATAATACATGAGTTTCATTAAGTAGTATTTTACAGTAGCACACTGAGCTTGCTATCTTCTGATTTACCTGCATTTTAAATGTAATTTTCTTTTCAGGAATGTTAGTAAGTCTTGTCTTGAAACTGCGTAAGTAAGCGTAACTTCTTGGAAACATACTAAAATATAATTTTAGCAAATATAAAGGTTAGCATTTCATTATTGTAAACTTGTAGTATGAGCCATGTATGCTGGTGTTATTTATGCTAATTTGTGTATTTTATGCTAATATAGCTGTTTTTAATCACAATAGTTTACAGAAGAAAAACTTGGCCAAGCAGAGAAGACAGAGCTAGATGCTCACTTGGAGAACCTTCTCAGTAAAGCAGAATGTACAAAATTGTGGACAGAAAAAATTCTGAAACAGACAGAGGTGTTACTGCAGCCAAATCCGAGTAAGTAGGACTTTAGATTTTATTTTGTTATTTTAGCATTAACAAGTGTATTTGGATAGCAGTTTGAATTGCTGATATGTATTAAGATAAGTCAACTGGAGTTCATTATTCTGTCTCTGGCAGACAAGGTTCTTTGGGTCAATCTGATATCTTTTATTAGACCAACTTAAATAGCTGGAGAAAAATTTTTAGCAAGCTTTTGGGTTTAAAAAACCATTTTGAGGCTGAGGAGTCTCTGCAGTTGGTGCATGCTCTTTCTGGATGGAATTAATAGTAAAGAATCCAGAGGCTGGGCTGTATGTCAGTGAAGATGTAAATTGAGTCAGTGGATGAGAGACCCGGTGGATGGGGGGAAGAGAAAAGGAGGATGAATGTAGCAGTTAAATAGTGGAGAGGTACCTGGAGAGTCAGATGTCAGGCAGGTTATAATGTGTCATAAAACCAATGTCTATATTTAGTACATGATTTTTTTTTATCCAGGAGGTTGATGAAATGAAGTTCATAGGCTCGTCTCTGAGAAGTGTTTTGTAAGCTCACTTTGAGGATTCAAACTGAAAGATTGGAGAGAGAGTGGTTTTCTTGTGAGAAATGTGCCCCTACCGGTAATTGGGTATTCTTGTCTTTGATAGATTTCCACTGTGTGTTCATTCTGGTGCGCAGTTGTTGTTTGGTGTCTCCTCCGTATTTTCTTTTTCTGTCTACCAGGGTTCAGTCCTCCTTATGATGTAATGCAACAAGTTAGCTCTTAATTCCAAAGCAAAGATTTCAGTAAAGAAAACGGCAGTTCTATTTTACAGAACAATTCCTGCATCTTGGTTTTTTTCCCCAACATGTATCTCTGTTCTTTTAATGGCTCTGTAGGAAAGACTGGACTAGGACAGGGTGGAAAATTCCATCGCAATTCTGTATTTTGTAGTGAATTTTGTTCTGTCCTTCTTGTTTACTTTCCACAAATATGAGAAAAGACTTTAGGTATGAGTTTGAAGTATTCTGGGTTAAATAACTACATATGTAAGGTGTTACCAGTTTTGCCTGTCACTTTGGGGTGCGCTCATTTATTAGGGGTATATTTCTGGGGTTTCTGTAGTTCTGTCGATGTGCTGCTTGTGCCACTTGTGTTTCTATGTGGAGATGTATCTCTCCCTTCTGCAAGTCCGCACCGCCAATGGAGCTATCTTGCAGGACTCAGTTTCAATGGGGCTGGGTTCCTCCAACCACTGAATCAGTCAAACACATATATGCACATACACACAGATTAACAGGGCATGCCTGAGCCAGGCTGGGTTATTCAGCACTGACAGGCTGACACCTTCATGTGCCTTGAACTCGGTTCATCCCTTATTTCAGCAGGACAATAATAAATGCAGTTAGACACACACGTGCACACTAGCAGAGTACATCTGAGCAGGCTGGGTCTGATCAGCACTTTTAGCTGATACCCTCATGTGCCTCAAGACTCAGCATGTCCCAATCTCTTGTCACAATGGTCCTAATAGTAACTCCCTTGATAAGCAGACTCCACCATAGTTTTGGACATTACAGGTATCTTTGGCTTGAGTAAAAGAAGCATTGCTGCAGAGCAAATGCGGAGGTCAAGAGGAAGGAAGAGTAAGTGAGGTTCAGAGAGAGAGTATAAGCAACCAGCTTAACTATAAAAGTTATTTATTGCCAGGTATATGAACTTACGATGATACCAATAGTAATAGCCATACGAGAGAGACAAATAAAACAGTTGCAATAGTACATAGTTTCAGTTAGGTATTTGGGGAAGTCTAGCTCAAGTTTGATCAACAGAAGTCAGGTTTAGATAGCTGTGCCTGGAGTAAGAAAGCAAAAGTCAGGTTCCTAGAGTCAGAGAGAGAGAAGAAAAAAAAAAAGAGTTGGGGGCTTGCCACTCAGTGAAGCTTGAACCAGTCAAGATTCCCAGGTGTTTGTTGGAGCTTGCAGACAGGCAGAGAGAGCCCTCGGCACAATTAATGGAGGGATTCCAGGCAGAAAAGGAGTGGAACTGGTGCAACTTTTGGATCCAAGCACCACGACAGAAACTTGAGCTTGAGTAGGGGTTTTTGTAGAGAACTAACAGTGGCTCAAGGGAGAACACTAGCTTTTGTTTATGGGTAAACAATGGCTCCTGTGGTAAATAATAGGAACTGATCACTCCTGGCTACGGGTGGCATTACTCTGGGGAAGCTCACAATACAGACAGGCAAATTCAGTGTTTTGGGTACCAGTAAAGGAATCATTACAAGAATTGGTCTGATAAATGCTGAGCTGGGTGTGTGTAGATGTGGGTTGAGTAGCATTTGGAGCAGGGATTCCCCCATCATGCAATGCTCCTGTGCTTCACTGGTCCCAGAGTTCAGTGCAGTCCCTGCCTTGGAATCTCTGTTTTCCATCCTGAATGCTAATGAAGGTGCTTTCCTGTCCCATCTCCCATGTCAATGAGACGGGGGAGTTGCTTCACTCCTATCACCCTTGTCTGGATGACTTTAGGTGCGATCCCACTGCATCTTCCTTGTCTTTTGTAAGTCCTTCCTCTAATCAGTTCTTGTTCAGGCAGAGGTGGGGAGGGGGTGAGTCCTTTGTGAATCAGACAGGCTGCGTACTGTGCTAGGAGTCTCCAAGAACACAGAGCTGAGAGGTAACAAAGGCTATGGGAAACATAAGATCTGTGTGTTGTCTCAACCGAAAGAGCAACAAGGCTGACAAGTCATGCTTGAGTAGTAAAACCCTAGCATCAAATATTCAAATACTTCCTTAAAGTGAAACAACTTAGAATATTCGATGAGCAGAATGAGACTGAAATAAATTAAGCTACTCAGTGAAAATTATTGGATTGGCTCAAAATTGTAACCCTCCTATCCTACTCAGTTTTAAGCTTGAATGACTTCTGAATTGGTCTTCTTTTCTAAACTCTATATACATACAATTTGTTTTACTTCCTCTTCTAGATTTGTTAGAATGTGGGTGGAAGGGGGTACTATCTAATCATGGTCTTGCTTCTAAAGCACCTCTCCCTGTGAGTATGCAGTGCCACAAGTACAACTAATGCAAGAGGATATCTTTGATCTTTTGGGGCTTGTAAAATCACCTTTGATTATTTGATTGTTTAGGAGTGTATCATTCTCAAACCAAAGAGGAGTTCTTAAAGAATAAGAAAAGGTACAAGCTTCTGGGTTGCAAGAAGCTTCAGTTAAGAATCTTAGACTTAAGACTTAAGAATCTAGACTTGGGAGACCAGATCATATTGTGCTAAAAGATGTGATTTTTGACATAACCTGCTCCTAACACTTCCTTTACAAAAGGAGCTGATTGTGTTGGTTAGAAAAAAATACTCTTTTGCTACACCTAAAGCTGACTTTGAGAAAAACTCGTTCCAAATAATAATGAAGTTCAATGTCTTCAAAACACTAAACCTAAAAACACAACTTATTTCCCCTGGAATGTGTGAAGAGCAGTGGTTAAGAAGGTACAAAATTAGGAATCTGTGTTAAGGATAGAATATACTCCTGCAGTAAATCTAAAGTAGTTGATAGCCAGATACAAGAGAGAGACATTCAAAATTGTGCATATGGTTTGTTAAAAGGCCCTCTGTATATTGTTTGGGTGCATGTACGTTCATGTGGGGGAAGCTTTAATATCTAAAGCTGTAGCACTGCTCTCTGGGACAACTTTTCAAGTGTAGTAGCAGTAGTGATTTGACTACTTTGTAGTGTGGTGCTTCCTTAGATGGACCAAAAAGCTTAAACAGATGTTTGAGCCAGGGTTATTGGGTATGCTTTCACTTCTCTGTCTGTAGCCAGGATTACAAAGAGCCTTGTTACTAATATAAGAATATATGAGAAAGGGACTGTAAATCAAGAGCCCATGTGGCATGTCTGTCTCTGTCTGTCCATCTGTTTTGCTTACAGTTGGAATAAGAATGTTGGGAAGAAGTAAGCAATCACATATGAGAAATAAGAATGCAAGTACCAGAGAAACAGTAATTATCCTAAGTCTGTACCACCACCTGGTCCCTCTTTTCCCCTGCCCCTTTCCAGTAAAAAAAAACTGCTTAATAGGACAGGCTTAAAGAATAAGCATAACAGCATCTGTGTAAGTCCTGCTTCTAGTTGTCGTACACCAGAAACAGAAATGTATAACAACAGGCCTATGAAACTAAAGTAACATCACCCAAAAGAAATTACTCTAAGACTAAGGGTTTAATAGGAAAAGGTACCAACTGAAGATTACAGTTGGAGGAGCCCATGCATGTTGCTAGTTATTTTAGCTGACGGCTATTAAATATCAGAGATTAACAACTTCCAAACTGAGCGTAGGGGTGTTGGTTGTAGCTGTTTTGGTCTAAGGGCATAGGCAGACAAGGTTCTTCAGGTACATGGGATATCTTTTTTTAGACCAACTAAATAGTTGGAAAAGTTGTTCTTTGCAACCTTTAGGGGACTAACGCCCTTTTTGAGGCATAGGGAAAGTCAGTTGTTATTTCATAGTTTCTAGGGTCGGAAGGGACCTGAACAGATCATCTAGTCTGACCCCCTGCCATGGCAGGAAAGAGTACTGGGGTCAAACGACCCAAGCAAGGTGTTCATCTAGCCTCCTCTTAAAACCCCCCAGGGTAGGAGCCTGCACCACTTCTCTTGGAAGTTGGTTCCAGACCCTAGCCGCCCTGACCGTGAAGTAGCGCCTCCTGATATCTAACCTAAACCTACCCTCTGCCAGCTTGTGACCGTTATTCCTGGTCACTCCTGGCGGTGCTCGGGGGAACAGTGATTCCCCCAATGCCCCAATGCCTGCTGATCCTCCCTTGATTCATCTTAAGGCTCATGCCTCTGAAAGCCTT